TCTAAAGTAGTTCATGCATTACTTTTTCTGCAGTTTTGTTGCGATTTCACATCCATAGAATACAATGGAAATCGCACTGCAAATTGCAAGAAATCGTTGAAAATCTTCACAAGTGGCAATAAAGTCTTCAGAAATCGCACCTAAAGTCGCACACAAATCATGCGATTTTAAATCGCAGCAGTGTGACCAGTGACTTGTGAAGATTTTCAATGATTTCTTGCAATTTGCAGAGCGATTTTCATTATTTTATGTATGTGAAATCGGCAACAAAACTGCACAAAAAATATTGCAAGAACTAAGAAACTAGGAAATGCGCTGCAGCAAATCCCACGTGTTAGGACACTGACATTCACATTCACTCCGTGTTTAGCGCGGGCACGAGAGCGCATTCATTTGAATGGACACGCAGAGAAGTCCCTGCACTTCTTTGAAAAACGCAGCCCGCATGAGAACCTCAGTTCCCAGTAGGTTTGCGATTTCCAGTGCGGGCGGCGTGCTATTAGAACTAATAGCACCCGCCCGCGGGTCCGCATTTCTCTGTGCGGGTGGTGCGGCTGCACGCATTTTTGTGCGGATCCGCAGCGGCACCACCCTCACAGATGTGTACCAGGAGTAAAGCAGTACTTAGCCCTGGTTCACACCAGTACAGCTTTGAGATCATGCTACTTCGGCGCGATTTCAAAGATACAGATCAGTGCAATTTGCACCTAATTGCAACTTCAGAAGTCCATGCAAGTTACAGTGAAATCAGAAAAAAGTCGTGCGTGAACCTTTTTAAAAGTTTGCTGCGACATGAGTCATGGCGATTTGGTTCCATTGCTGGCGATGGGGTTCGACTTGTCATGCGATTCTTGACAGTTCCAAATCACTCCGGTGTGAACCAAGGCTAAAAAGCAAACATTCATTACATTGCAGCTTACCAATTCTTAGATGTGGTGGCTGCATTAGTTTTCTTTTTTTAGGCTTTTTCTTCTATTTTTATAGAAACAGAAAAGTGAGGGCAGAAAAAGACCGAGTGGTCCATCGAGTCTGCCCCTTTTTTTTTTCTTTTGGGGGGGGGAGGGTTGTTTGTTTTATATTTGTGTTTTTTTTGTTTGTTTTTTTGGGGGGGAGGGTTGTTTTTTTTTTTTTTTTTTGTTTTATATTTGGGGGTTTTTTTTTGGTTTTTTTTTTGGGGGGGGTTGTTTTTTTTGTTTTGTTTTTTTATATTTGGGTTTTTTTTTTTTTTTTTGTTTTGTTTTATATTTGGGGTTTTTTTGTTTTTTTTTGGGGGGGGGGGTGTGGGGTTGTTTTTTTTGTTTTGTTTTATATTTGGGTTTTTTGTTTTTTTTTTTAACTGTTTTTTGTCTGAGTATAGATCTATGCTTGTCCCAAGCATGTTGGAAGCCATCTACTGCTGGCCGGCTCACTACCTCTGCTGGAAGTCAATTCCGAGCATCAACTACTCTTTCAGTAAAATAATACTTTCTGAGATTAGTTTTGAACATTCCTCCAGTCAGTTTAAGGTCCTGTCCCCGTGTCCTTCGTTTTTGTTTTCGTGTTGAAAATACTGCCCTCCTGAACCCTTTACCTAGTGATCTGACCAGTAAGTCTGTTGCCTTGAACAGAACAAGCTGTCCTGCGGATGTAGCAGTTAGAGGGTTGAGACAAACCATTTACCAATGACAGGGGTGCTTACAATAATCATCTTTTATTTATTCATATAAATCCTTTATCTCAAAAGAAATATAAGCTGTTGCTGTGTGTGCTCCTTGTGTAACTGAAGAGTTAGCTGGAGTTTGGCTTCAATGTGTTAGTATATCTATATCTGCTAGTCCATCCAACACTCCCCCCATCTCTAACAATACACTTCTCTTATTTGCTCCCTTTTGTTCACTTTAGGCGTGTTGAGACAAACCATTTACCACTGGCAGGGGTGCTTACAATGATCAGCTTTAATTTATTTATGCAAAACCTTATCTCAAAAGGAAAAAAAAAAATGTTGCTGTAACTTCTTGTGAAACTACAGTGTGAGCTGGAATTTGGCTTCAATTTGTTAGTGTATCTAAATCTGCTAGTAATTCTAACACTCCCCTCCCCCCCAGACTGACAATGCTGCTGTCCGAAGGTGCCCCCTGTGCTCCTTCATCCAGAGTGGGGGCGCTCTAATACAAGAGGTGTGCTACTGGCCAGATCACCAGGTGAAGGCAGAGGGAAAAAGCCTAAAAAAAAAAAAAAAACTAATGCAGACACCATGTCTAATGATTGGTAAGCTGCAATATATTACAGTTTTGGTTTGGGGTTTAATATGGCTTTAAGGCCCCCTACATACGGTAAGTTGACACTGCTGGAATATAGATTGTTGCCATTCAGACAAGGGTGGCTCGTTGTGGTGCCTAAAAACATACATAACTGACTAAAAGCCGATCCTGCAGCATTTTCGCTAGCCCAGCATGTACTGCGTAGGACTGCAGCACAAATGGTGTGAATGGCACATTTGCTTTCCTAGACTGGCCTGTAAGGCGATTTATAGACCAAGCGCAGCAGACGTGGGGCCCTTTCACACAGGATTTCTGATCAGGTCCACCTGTCAGTTTTTCCGGTAGACCCGATCGGAAGCTCCACGTGGGTCTATGGGCGGCTGGATGTAAACAGACTTCTGACCATTTACACCCACCTACCTCCGAGTCTGTCCACGTCCGTCTTTCTGAACCTAAACGTGACAAATTGGAGGTAGCCTTTAGTAAACGGACACAAGTCTGTTTACATCTAGCCCCCCATAGAGCCGTCACGGGTCTGTCCGCTGTGTAAACGCAGACACAAACGGAAAAGGCACTAAAAACTGACGTTTGTCCCGTTCGGCTCAGATTCAGTGGGGGATCCAATCACCGAGAGCTTGCGAAGGACCCAGAGTAATGAAAGATCTTATTCATGGCCTTGTGTTAATGTGGTAAATGATGCGTCTTACTGCACATTACTGAAGTGTGTAGTTTTGTATGCATCTGTACCATAGGCATGTGCACGGGGTGTGCCGGATGTGCCTGGGTACACCGGCACACCCTAATGACCCTGTGCGCATTGGAATTATTGCTCTGTGTGTCGGCAGGGAGGTGGGAAAGATCTCTTACTGACCAGCTCCGCCATAAGAGACGTGCTTGTGCACTTCTCTTTCACTGTGGGAAAGATCCCCCATTGACTGCCTTTTGATATATATATATATATCTAAAAATAAAATCTAAAAAAAAAATGAAAGGAACACTTTTTAAACAGTCTAGCATGAAGTCAATGAAACTCCTGGGATATTGATTCGATCAGTTAAGTAGCAGAGGGGGTTGTTAATCAGTTGCAGCTGCTTTGATGTTAATGAAATTACCAACAGGTGCACTAGATGGGCAACAATGAGATGACCCCCAAAACAGGTATGGTTTTACAGCTGGAGGCCACTGACATTTTTTTCCCTACTCATCTTTTCTGACTGTTTTTCACTAGTTTTGCATTTGGCTAGGGTCAGAGTCACAACTGGTAGCATGAGGCCATACCTGGACCCTACAGAGTATGCACAGGCAGTTCAACTCCTCCAGGATGGCACATCAATACGTGCCATTGCCAGAAGGTTTGCTGTGTCTCCCAGCACAGTCTCAAGAGCATGGAGGAGATTCCAGGAGACAGGCAGTTACTCTAGGAGAGCTAGACAGGGCCATAGAAGGTCCTTAACCCATCAGCAGGACCGGTATCTGCTCCTTTGTGCAAGGAGGAAGAGGATGAGCACTGCCAGAGCCCTACAAAGTGACTTCCAGCAGGCCACTGGTGTGAATGTCTCTGACCATGCAATCAGAAACAGACTTCATGAGGGTGGCCTGAGGGCCCGATGTCCTCTAGTGGGCCTTGTGCTCACTGTCCGGCACCATAGAGCTCAATTGGCATTTGCCATTGAACATCAGAATTGGGATGTCCACCACTGGCACCCTGTGCTTTTTACAGATGAGAGCAGGTTCACCCTGAGCACATGTGACAGACGTGAAAGGGTCTGGAGAAGCCATGGAGAATGTTATGCTGCCTGTAACATCGTTCAGTATGACCGTTTTGATGGTAGGTCAGTGATGGTCTGGTGAGGCATATCCATGGAGGGACGCACAGACCTCTACAGGCTAGACAATGGCACCCTGACTTAGGTATCGGGATGAAAACCTTGGACTCATTGTCAGACCTTTTGCTGGTACAGTGGGCCCTGGGTTCCTCCTGGTGCACGACAATGCCCATGTGGCGAGAGTATGCAGGCAGTTCCTGGAGATGAAGGAATTGATACCACTGAATGGCCCCCTTGCTCGCCTGAATCCTGAATCCAATACAACAACACCTCTGGGATATCATGTTTTGGTCCATCCGACGCCGCTAGGTTGCACCTCAGACTGTCCAGAAGCTCAGTGATGCCCTGGTCCAGATCTGGGAGGAAATACCCCAGGACACCATCCGTCGTCTCATTAGGAACATTCCCCGACATTGTCAGGCATACATACAAAGACATGGTAGCCATACAAACTACTGAGGACCATTCTGAGTTGCTGCAATGACATTTCAGCAAAATGGACTCACCGGCTGCATAATTTTTTCACTTTGATTTTCGGGGTGTCTTTGAATTCAGTCCTCTGTAGTTCGATCATTTTAATTTCCATCAAACAATGGGGCATCCTTACGTTCCTAACACATTACCCCGTCCATATCAGTATAGATATCCAGCAGGAGATGTTTCCCCATTGAGATCTGATGTGTTATATACACACACTTGTGTGTTTGAGCTTTGGGGTGCACACCCATGACCTGTCCACAGATGTAGAGAAGTCTATGCACCCATTTATACAACTGCACCGGACAGCACAATGTTTTGTTGCAATTGGCAGCATAAAGAACAGCGCTCCCTCCATGGACTTAATACTTGCTGCAGATTAGTAAGCACTTTACAATCTTTTTTTTCCCCCCACAGGATCCCTCTAAGGTGAACGTTAATTTTAGCCGACATGTCTATGGACATCACCTTCCTAGGCACTGGATCTGCCTATCCATCTCCTTGCAGAGGGGCCTCGGCTGTCGTGTTCCGGACAGAAGGAGAATGTTGGCTGTTTGACTGTGGAGAGGGTACGCAGACTCAGATCATGAAAAGCCTCCTTAAAGCAGGTGAGTAGACTGAGGTGAAAAAGCCGACTTATAAAGTTCAACAACAGATTTTGGGGAGTCCTTAGTTTTGCATTGAACAGCACACTGTAGCAAAAGCGCGCATCAGAGATGGACGCGGTTCAACCATTTTGGTTTCAACCTCCATCTTGGCGAAGGGACTAACCATCCTGAAATATATTTTCCTGCATCCTCCCCCCTTTCCTCTCTGTTCAGCCACAGAGACATCTGGTTGTGGGTCACTGGCAGGCTAGAGCAGCAGGGGGCCCAGAGCTACAAAGCCCCCCAAGAGAGACAGAGCCTCTCTGCCCAAGAACCTTTTTGTAATTTCTCACCTCGTAACAGAGATAAGGCAGCGTTCCCAGGATTTGAAAAAGATTGTAACCTCATAAAACCTAGCTCAGCGTAGTGGCAGGATCAGATAACTTCTGGTAAAATCAGTTTTTCCCCTGTGTTTCATATCTTGGAATATGGAAGACTTGCATAAAACCGGGCACCTCGTCTGATTGCCAATGCGCAGACCAACGTTTTTGATGGGTCACTCGTCCACCTCAGATCATCAGGGGAGCCAAAACATAGAACTCGTACACCGTGTAACGTACAATTTCATAATTCATATCTAAATAATCCTCAGACTTGTCTGTGTAATAAAATACCCGCGGAGAGATTGTCGCTTGTGCGGCTGGGAAGTTATAGGCCAGAATATGAATTATGAAAGATGCTGGTTCTAATTTTGGGTTCCGCCTGCCAATCCCTCCCTAAACAGAGTATTGGTCAGTTACTCAGAGCCACACTCCTGCTGGGGGACTTTAAAAAACAGGCTAGCAGGCCTAAAGAAGTTAAGTTAAAGACATCTCCCATTTTAACATCAATACCACCTGGGGAGACCCTTTCGCTCTGCAACTTGGATCTGCTTACAAACCAAGGCGTACTGGCAAGTAACTTAACCCTTTAACTTCCTTCCTATTATCTCTTTGCTGTGCAATGGTTCTTTATATCTGTATATATATATCTTAATTACATCTTTTTTCTGTAAGTATTTTTTATTGCACCCTGTTTGACCTTTTAGTAATAAATCTTCCTTTCTGAAAGTGTTGAACTGTTTCTATAGCTTTTAATCGCAATTCACGAATCCCTGCCTTTGAAGAGACGCTACTGTTTGTTTTAATCTCTGTATAACCGGCCTGTGGACCGTTTTATACAGACAATTATTTCAATCATTTTAGTGTATTACCTGATAATGCGAGTTTCCTCTTTCTCTGTACAAAAAGGAGGTGGTGGCAGTGTGAAAGGGTTAGTTGTGTAAATAAACTTACCCAGTAACAATCGCTCAGGCTGACGGCACATCGAACTGTTGTCCATTAGCTGGAAAATCGTTGTGCAGGGTGCAGCTGGGTGTGCATTGTTACGCACGTCACATCGCGGTTTTAGATCGGCCAGTCCTTTGGTCACGAGTTTGGTGAGAAGGTCTGGGGTCTGACGCCGCGATCGTGACATATTGGACGTCGCGGTCATGCGATCCGTGACATATTGGTGGCAGCGATCGTGAGATTGTCGCATGTTGGTGGTGGCGATCTTGCGATCGTGACACACACCAGTAATGACCCCAGGTCAGCATGATGATGCCCTACTGGGGGTATGTCCATGGCAGTCTAGGCTCAGAGAAAGTGTCCAGCCTCATTTAAATAGGAAGACTTAGGACATATAGTGGGGAAAGGAGATACTATGTGTGTTGGGGGGGCAGCTCTGGATTGAAGGTAATGCAGCAAAAAAAAAGTATTTTTCTTAATTTTACTTGTCTATTATTATTTTTTTTCCTGGAGTTCTGCTTCAAAGTCTAAGGAGAATGGTGGAGGTGGATACCCTACTTTGTGGTGAGATGCATAAAGAAAGGTGCAGATTTACATTTCTCATCTCACACTGATAGCAAGGAGTTCTGTCCGCTTCCAGCAACACAGCAAATGTCTCCAGGATTTCTAATGTATATTAGCTAATTCAGTCCAATTTCAACAGCAGAAGAAACTGCTCCAGGACTGTCTATTAGCTAACCTCCTAAATTAAACACAGGTAGCAATGACCCTCTCAGAAGCTGCTGGATTTGATGGTTTTCTCCAGTCTGTAGGGTGGGTAAGGTGGTATCTTCTCCATGTTCCCATCCACATTGGGCACCAAGTAAGGGTTGCATAAAAGGCCTAAAAGGCCTACCCCGGGGTGGGTTCTTCTGGGCTCTGCTGGACACCTAGGACAGGTCATATCAGGCACCTTTACCTGTGCCATGGTCACCAATTCCCTGGGACAGGGCGGAAGTCGCTTTCAGGGATAACTCAACCTAAAGGCGGACTTCTGACTCAAAAATGTCCATACACCGTGCACACTCCAACTGGTGACTGAACTCTAGTTAACTCTCTTGAGCCCCCAAGTCAATGTACACCACTACTGTCACATTTTGCATTTGGGAGGAACACACAGAACTGATGCCCTCTCCACCTGTCCAGTGTATCTCCGCTATCTCATTCCCAGTATTGGAATAGAATCCCGCTGAGCACTGTACCGGTACGTTGCTGTCCGCTTCCGGGTTTCAGGCGCACACCCTACTCCCGCTGTGTAAACAGTGAAAGTCGGTCAGCAGGTCCCAGCCAATGATTCATGGCCCAGACCTGCTGAACGGCTATTTGCAATCGCAGCCCAGAGCCCTGTGTAGACAATCAACACAGAGCTCTGTACAGAGGCAGTGATCTCTCTGTTTCTCATCCCTGCAAAGCAGGAATGAGAAACAAAGATGTCTATTAGTAAAAGCAGCACATAATACACACATTACACATTGTTAGGCATACATTTAACCCCTTGATCGCCCCCTATATGTTAACCCCTTCCCAGCTAGTGTCTTTAGTACAGTGACAGTGTATAATGTCACTGATCACTGTATAAGTGTCACTGGAGATGTCAGTGCCAGTTACTCAGTTCTCCTCAGCGTCAGTGGCAGATTGCCCGCCGCACTCCCACTACACAATCCCACTACAAGTCGCTGATCCCCGCCATTATTAGTATAAATAAATAAAAATCCAAATATCCCATAGTTAGTAGACGGTATAATTTTCATGCAAACAAATCAGTATATACTTATTGGGATTTCTTTTTTTACCAAAGACATACACTCACTGGCCACTTTATTAGGTACACCTGTTCAATTGCTTGGTAACACAAATTGCTAATTAGCCAATCACATAACAGCAACTCAATGCATTTAGGCATCTAGACGTGGTGAAGACTACTTGCTGAAGTTCAAACCGAGCATCAGAATGAGGAAGAAAGGGGATTTAAGTGACTTTGAACGTGGCATGGTTGTTGGTGTCAGACGGGCTGGTCTGAGTATTTCAAAAATTGCTGGTGGTCTGAAAAAGAGAAAATATCCAGTGAGCGGCAGTTGTGTGGATGAAGATGCCTTGTTGATGTCAGAGGAGAATGGGCAGACTGGTTGCTGGGAAATTCAGATTGTATTGTCAGAATTTGGCATACACAACATAAAAGCATGGATCCTGCCTTGTATCAACAGATCAGGCTGCTGGTGGTGGTGTCATGGTATGGTGGATCCATCCTGCCTTGTATCAATGGTTCAGGCTGCTGGTGGTGGTGTCATGGTATGGTGGATCCATCCTGCCTTGTATCAATGGTTCAGGCTGCTGGTGGTGGTGTCATGGTATGGTGGATCCATCCTGCCTTGTATCAATGGTTCAGGCTGCTGGTGGTGGTGTCATGGTATGGTGGATCCATCCTGCCTTGTATCAATGGTTCAGGCTGCTGGTCGTGGTGTCATGGTATGGTGGATCCATCCTGCCTTGTATCAATGGTTCAGGCTGGTGGTGGTGGTGTCATGGTATGGTGGATCCATCCTGCCTTGTATCAACGGTTCAGGCTGGTGGTGGTGATGTAATGGTGTGGGGGATATTTTCTTGGCACTAGCAAGGGGTACCTAATAAAGTGGCCAGTGAGTGTATAGCAGAATACATTTTGGCCAAAACTTATCAAGAAATTTTGATTTTTAACATTTTTTTTTTTTTTTATTGGATATGATTTATAGCAAAAAGTAAAAAAAAAAAAAGTCATTTTTTTTCATTTTATATTATAAAAAAATTAACCCAGTGGTGATCAAATGCCACCAAAAGAAAGCTCTGTTCTGTCTCTCCAATCTAAGCATTGAAAGTGTGATCTCTGTAACTTACAGTTGTGATGAGATAGCGATAACTCCAATCTTAGTTGAATAACACAGGCAGTGACTCGATCCAGAAGACATCTTGTAGATCTTGTGAAGTTTATTCCATAAACTGAGAAAATCTTACAACAATGAACATCTGATAGGTCAAAAGATCATAATGTGATCTGCTTCATGACAGGAGGCTTGAAGCTGAAATGCCTTACTGGGAAAAGGGGTGGGCTATCTATACAGCATTAACTAAACCAGAGGAAAGGGAGAAGCAGAAACAAAATATAGAGAACACTTAAAGGCATATGACAGTCATGTGAAACATGACAAGCTCTGTTGTGTGGAAGAAAAAAAAGACATACATTTTGCTTGGGTACAACATTGCATGACCACGTAATTACCAGTTAAAGTAGCGCAGTGCTAAATAGGAACAATAGCTAGGTCATGAAGGGGTTACAACCTACCAGAGCTCAAGTGGTTAACTTGGGTGTAAATTGTTTGCTGAAAATTGCGCCTAACAAACTGAAATATTGTTAAATATAAAAATTTGGAACTACCAACATTTTGTTCTCTGAGGTCTCTGTTGTCAGAAAATATATATAATTTGTGTTGGGGGGGGGGGGGGGGGGATAACTAATCCTCAGGCCTAGAAAGATTTTTAAAACCTGTGTAAAGAAAGTAAAAGAGCGGGTTAAGGTAAGGATGGGTTTGTGACAGCGATACATTTTTTATTATAGGTGGTGAATATTATTGTGAATGATGGTAGTTAAACTTTCAGTAATATTTCGGTTTCTGGCATGGGTGAACGGGAGTCATCGGATATGTGCAGAACCAATGCAGCCCCCATCCCCCTAGTTGAGAAATAATTATTTATTTGACATCTATTTTCATAGCAACCCTAAACCAATGTAATGAAATGCAAACCCTGCAGAGCTAATGTTCTCCACCATGTGTTGCCTGCTTGCTTATTAAGTTTTACGAAGTGCGTATAGCACAGCTGTCACCATGTCTGCAGAAAGCGGCAGGTGCAGTGAGCACGAGAGGCTGTGACGTATCCTCCGCACCCACACAACAGCTCTGACAGGGCCATTGTACAGCAAGCCGATACTTATGCAGCTAGAAAATATTAACTGCAAAGCATATTGGTGAATCCTATTCTAGAACTTAACCACTTCAATACCGGGCACTTTCACCCCCTTCCTGCCCAGGCCAATTTTCAGCATTCACAGCTGTCAACTTTGAATGACAATTGCGCGGTCATGCAACACTGTACCCAAGCTAAATTTTGTTCACACGCTTTCTTTTGATGGGAAATCAATCACCACTGGGTTTTCAACGTTTTTTGTTAAATGAAAAAAGATGGAAAATTCTCTTACTTTCTGTTACAAATTAGTAAGTACATTTTCTTCTTCTGATGGGCACTGATGGTGATGATGAGGCTGCACTGATGGGCGCTGATGAGGCTGCACTGATGGGCGCTGCTGAGGCTGCGCTGATGGGCGCGCTGCTGAGGCTGCTGAGGCTGAAGTGATGGGCGCCCGCTGATGAGGCTGCAGTGATGGGCGCTGCTGAGGCTGCAGTGATGGGCGCTGCTGAGGCTGCAGTGATGGGCGCTGCTGAGGCTGCATTGATGGGCGCTGCTGAGGCTGCATTGATGGGCGCTGCTGAGGCTGCACTGATGGGCACCGCTGAGACTGCACTGATGGGCACCGCTGAGACTGCACTGATGGGCACCGCTGAGACTGCACTGATGGGCGCTGTTGAGGCTGCACTGATGGGCGCTGTTGAGGCTGCACTGATGGGCGCTGATGAGGCTGCATTGATGGGCGCGATGAGGCTGCACTGATGGGCACCAATGAGGCGCTGTTGGGCGCTGTTGAGGCTGCATTGATGGGCACTGATGAACAGACACTGATGATGCTGTACTGATAAGGCTGCACTGATGGGCACTGATATGCTGCACTGATGATCAGCGCCCTAATGATCAATATAAATGTCCCCTGTCACAGGAAAGCCAGTTATCTGCCTTCCTTTCCTCAGACAGTGACAACGTCATTTGGACACAGCTGATCACACGGTAAAGAACCAATGCCATTGGCTCTTTACCCTGATAGGTGATGCTCTGTGTCCGAGGGACACAGCACACCACCAATCACTATGTGAGCGGCGTGACTGGGAGAACACCATATGATGTCCACCCAGAGGGACGAAAGGCCCGCCCGGCCATCAGTTTTGCTATTGGCCGGGCAGGAGCTAGTTAAGCTAAACCCCACCCCAGAGGTAATGGGAGAATCTGCACAATGGGTTCACAACAGCAATTTGCACTAAGGGCCGGTTCACATTAGGGATTGAACAGGAATACGCTGCACTTTCCTATGCGGTTCATTGCGATGCAATTTGAGGCCCTTCATTTAAAGGTGAAACAGACCAATCACAGTGATTGAACACCACTACGTTTGAATGCACAATGCAGCATTTGACAGCAGCACCTAACATAATACAGCTCTGTATTCATTAATGACATGTATTGCATTTTCCACTGCAGGCTCTATAGGTAACTGCCTGTGCACTTCTCAAGTCAAAGGCCCCGTTCACCCTAGAACAAAATGCTGATGACCTGCTTTCCGTACACGATTCCCGCACCACGTTCACAACACATTGCAGTTGTAATCTATAGCGAGTGTCGGTGTTAAGTTAATGACACCACAAAGGCAGGTCGCAAACTCCGTGCATTTCCCAGAGTAGTGCGTGCACTACTCTTGGTGCGGTGCAATTTGACCTTTCAAATGGGCTCATAAAGTATGACGCACATATGAATCCTGTACGATTCCGTGTATGAACCGGCCCAAAAAGAGCCTACCTTGTTTCCAGATTAGTCTAGCACCATCTAGATCTTTCCTCCCCAGGAAGGGCAGGTAGGATGTTATCCTTAAAATATCACTGCACCCTGCCTCAGTCCTACTCTCAAGATCCCTCAGTGATGGTGAAAACAGTGAGCTGGCTGTCAGCTGGCCATAGATGGTTCGAATCTCAGGCTGGTTCAGCATGAACCGGCTGAAATTTGAACCATGTATAGGCAGGCTGAATGTACCTAAATTGATCGATCAACTTGGGTACAACCAGCCTGCCAGATTTTACATGCAATTATCGCTAGAGGCTGTTATAGCTGCTAGCAAAAATCACTGTCCTCTCCCAGCGGGGATGGCTACCCCCCCCCCCCCCCCCCCCCAACCCCCTTGGTGGGAGAACACAATAGCTCTGCGGGAGGGATTCCCCTGTCAATTTGTGGTTGCAGGAAAGAAATTTGCACCATGGATAGCCTGCCTTATACAAATACTAATATGCCTTGATTGGTGAATGTCAGTCTAGAGGTGTGGGCTTTCCCTATGTAATGCACACATTTGATGGTGAGCCTCCACAATGGAAAGAACCAAAATAAATCTAGTGAATGAGGGAGGCGAGTCAGGACAAAAAAGAGCTAGATTAGGGTTCCTCAACTAGGGCTCTTCAAGAGGTTGCAAACGGTTCCTTGAGTAATGAACAATTTCTGCTTCTCAGATAAATTCCCACTGACACCGTTGATCTTTTTTATCTATCTTGAAGGGGGTCATTCTTTCCAATGACCACAAGTGTTTTTTTTAGCAGGGGCTCCTTGAGGCTGGAAAGTTATTTCAAGGGTTCCTCTGTTTTGAAAAGGTTGAGAAAGGCTGAGTTAGATGATGCTGGATGTCCTCCAGCCAGGAAATGAGGCAGGCTCTATCCGATCTGTTACAGCTTCTAATGCACACTGTGAGAAGCTCACAATGTGCAATTAAATCAGAATAAGCAATTTTAATGCAGAAGAGTCTTTTCAACTATGCAAGACACAGGGAAGACTGGAGTTCAGCTTTAAAGTCAACTTGGAAAAGCTATTAGTTATTAGGTTATTATTATCCAAGGCTCTGTCCTTGGACCCCTTCTCTTCTCCATCTACACCTCCTCCCTGGGCAAACTCATACACTCCCACGGCTTCAACTATCACCTCTACGCTGACGACACCCAAATCTACCTCTCCACCCCTCTCCTCACCCCCACTATCTCCGCCCGCATCACTCGCCTCTTAAACGACATCTCAGACTGGATGTCGCTACATTTCCTCAAGCTCAACCTCTCCAAAACCGAGCTCCTCATCTTTCCCCCTGCCCACACCCCCCCCCCATCCTATCCATCATCACCAACAACTCCACTATCATTCCCGCCCCGCAAGCCAAAGTCCTTGGCGTCATTCTTGACTCGAACCTCTCCTTCCAACCTCATGTCAAATCACTTACAAACACATGCAGGCTCCACCTCCGCAACATCGCCAAGATACGTACCTTCCTCACCCCTAACACCACCAAACTTCTAGTACACTCCCTCATCATCTCACGCCTTGACTACTTCAATTCTCTTCTCACCGGCCTACCCCAGTGCAGGCTCTCCCCGCTCCAGACCATCCTGAACTCAGCGGCTAGACTCATCCACCTCACCAGCCGCTCCACCTCTGCCACCCCCCTCTGCCTCTCCCTCCACTGGCTCCCGATTACCCAACACATCAAATTTAAACTTCTAACCCTGACCTACAAAGCCATTCACAACACTGCCCCTGACTACCTCACCAACCTGATCCCCAAGTACCCGCCCTACCCGTACCCTTTGCTCCTTACTGGACCTCCTTCTATCCTGCTCCCTGGTCTCCTCCTCCCATGCACGACTGCAGGACTTCTCCAGGTCCTCCCCCATCCTCTGGAACTCACTGCCCCAATCCATCAGACTGTCGCCTTCCCTCCTCACATTCAGGCGCTCCCTCAAAACCCATCTCTTCAGGGAAGCCTACCCCACCCTCACCTAACGGCCATTCTCCCTCTTTCCTCCCACCCCTCATTCCCCTCAGCCACTTCCTACTGTACCATTACCCCCTCCCTCCTAGATTGTAAACTCGAAAGAGTAGGGCCCTCTTACCCCTCGTACGTTGTTTGTTATTGTTGTACTTTGCCATGTATTGTCCCCCCCCCTATTGTACAGCGCTGAGCAAACCCTTTGGCGCTATATAAACTCGATGTAATAATAATAATAATTGTGCAGCGTTACTTTGATTTTGCTAAGATTTTTGTTTTGTTGTGTTCCACGCCTGCAGGCAGAATTACCAAGATTTTTATCACTCATCTTCATGGAGACCATCTGTTTGGACTTCCTGGCTTCCTGTGTACGGTTAGTCTCCAGGCTGGCTCTAATCCATCTAAGCAGCATGTAGACATCTATGGTCCTGTGGGATTAAGGAACTTTATCCACATGAGTTTGGAAATCTCTCACTCACAGCTATTGTTCCCGTATTCCGTTCACGAATTGGTCCCTTCAGAAGACCAGTGTCCAGTAGAAGAGTTTAGAGACTTCTCAAGATATGGAGGAAAGAACAATCCGTCCTTGGAAGAGCAGACTCTTCATGCAGATCCAAGGGATGGAATTTACCTTCTCTTTGAAAATGAGCAGTTTGTTGTTCAAGCGTTCAAGCTTTATCATCGTATTCCATCATTTGGGTTTGTGATTGCTGAGAAGGACCGGCCAGGCAAACTCAACCGTGAGCAAGCTAAAAGAACTTGGTAAAAGTCTACCTTGTGGCATTGTTTCTTAAAGTTTACTCCATTGTGTACAACCATTATGACCAGGGGAGGAATGGGCTAAAGGGCATATGCTCCATGGGGCCAATACTAACAAAGGTTGGGCTGGTGATCCTGAGAGCAAGTGAGACACCAGTCACTGTCCGTGGCATATGGTGGCTGTTCAAGTAAAACTGAGACACTATTTTTTTTTTCATTTTTGGTGGCCTAAGGGAGGGTTTTTTTTTTTTTTTTTTTTTACCTCTGTCTGGGTTTTTTAGCATGTGTTCCATTGGGGAGATTTCCCTTCCTGTCCTATAGCCACAACAGGAAGTGAGAGGAAATCCTTTCATAATGAGGGAAATCCTCATTGGTGTCCCCAATGAAAGATTTCCCCAGTATTCCTGTTCTGTTCTGATGACCACTCAATATTTGGGATTTTCTTTCACTTTTGATCACCAGGACAAATGGGGTTAATCTCCCAAACAGGGTAATAAAACCATGACAGATAATCCCTCTATTTAAAAAAAAAAAAAAAAAAAAAAGTTTGAGTCTTGCTCCTCATTGGCTCAGACACAGCAGCAGGAGCCATTGGCATATGGACATGCAGGGCTCGGGAGTAAGCATGTAAGGAGCAGCACCAGCAAGGGAAACCCCAGAAAGGGAGGATTGGGGGCTGCTCTGTGCAAAACCATTGCACAGAATAGGTAAGTATGACGTGTGTTTGTTATTTTAAAGAAATTAAAGGCAAACCTTTACAATCACTTTAAGGACTTCAGCTGCTCTGATAACACTAGGTTGAGTGTACAAATCATGCAATATCACAGAAAATCACTGAAAGTAAGACTTGGTATCCATTAGTAGTACTATATCAAAGAAAACAGGCACTGAACAGTTAACAGAAAGGCAAACTTTATATACTGTCACTTGTAATGAAGTAAGCATAGAGATGGATTAACAATAATAACACCATTCAGCATACAGGGTGAATAGCAATAAAGAATAGGCATAAAATGACACTTGGTGTCCAGGTCAACAGTAGCAATGTCACCTAAAGTGCAGCAGTGAGTAGTAATAAAGCTTGATTTATCAAACACAGGAACTATACTGCCAAGGTGCATTATTGGTGAGTATGCCAAGACTGACTAGATGTGCACTGTCCATAGAAATGAAGGAAACTGGAGAAGGGAACAAAGGGGACTTGCAGGGTGGTTTTTTACCGGAGGGTCAGTCTCTTATGTTGTTCTTCTGTCGGCTATCGTTGGGGCCCTTTAGGAAGCGGTGGTGCAGTTGACAACAGTTTTAGTAAATTAGCACAGTGTGGTACAGGTGCAGTATACTTATTGTCCTGCCTCCAGTAACTCAGTCCCTGTTAGCAGTGTAAACAATGGGCAGTGCCCTCTCTCACCAGTACCTATGGTTCGGCTGTGAATTCTCGCTGTAGAAAGAGGGCCCACCACAGTCTCTCCACAGAATGCCTCCAGAAACTCAGTGCTAGGAAGTAGAGGGTGCGAGGATGTTCTGGTCTCTTTGCGGCAAAAGTGCATATGTGGTTGCTGTGATCTGTACTGACCTGCCTCATGTGTCTCCACTGGTCTGGCCTCTCAGCAGTCTGGCCGTATGCAGCAGATGTGCTCTTCAGTTCCCTCAGCCCCAAAAGGAAGAACCTAGCTGGATAGTCCCAGAAAGGCAGCTCCCCTGCTACTCCTTACCCCAGTGTCTCTTGGGAATTGAAGTGCAAGGTTCCATAAGTTCCACAATATCGCTTACTTCCTGGACTTCAATCCCATGATCCTTAGCATTCTGCATTGGAATCTATAGGCTTTTCTGGGTATAGTTCTGCTGGCTGGAAGGGACAAAGCAACACAACATTCAGCATAACTTCAGAAAGTGAAAGTAAACTCCATGTTCCTGTAGTCCAGCACTGGCTACACAAGATTCTTACTCTTCAGCTCTGAAATGATAATATTTCTAGCACAGTGGTGGAATGGATCAGGTAAAGGCTTGACGGAAAATAACCTTTAGAACGTTGAGTCTCACTCTTCATGAAGAAGGAACTCTATAGCATAGATCAGTGGTTCTCGAGCTTTTTGAAATCAGGGCCAGGTAGTCTTCCAAAACCTTACATGACCCAACAGTAGAAATGTAAAGTTTATGCTCACACAATTAAAGAATGGGAATGTAAAGCATGTATTGAAATGCTGGAAGGCTCTGGATGAGGCTGGGTGTCATTTTGAGGGGGATGGGGATTGTGGAGTGAGTTAGAGGACATTTGAGCTGACTTGGTGACCCGGTAGGGCACAGGTGTCAAACTGGCGGCCCTCCAGCTGTTGCCAAACTACAAGTCCCATGAGGCATTGCAAGATTGACAGTTACAACCATGACTCCCAAAGATAGAGGTATGATGGGACTTGTAGTTTTGCAATAGCTGGAGGGCCGCCAGTTTGACATCCCTGCTGTAGGGGATGAGGTTTCTGGAGGGCATTGGGAAGCACTGTGGGAAGTTGAGGTGTACTATGGGACGCTGTTGGAGGTTGGGGGCAATATGGAGGGCTGGACACTCTGCTGCAGGTTGGGCTGCATTGTGGGAAGTTGGGGGCACAGAGGAAGTTGGGGGCACTGTGACCCCTATGGGAGCTGGGAGGCACTGTGGAAGGATATGGGATTTGCAGCTGGCTAAGGACCCGGGAGAGGGAAGACCCAGTTGTTGAGCATATATCACACTAATGAAGCTAGCAGCACAGACAGTTGGTAGGGGATTGCTGAAAACCTTTTTTTTTTCGACTGGTTGTCTGCTTTATTGGGATACATTTTTGTTGGTATAGGTGGCTGTGGCCCATAATAATATCACATGTGGCAGTTTGTGAAAAAGAAGCCTCATGGTAATACCATGTTCTTATTTGTAGGTGTGCAACCTGGTCCTATTTATGGCAAGCTGAAACTTGGCTCTTCGGTTACACTGGAGAATGGACAGATTATCCATCCCTCCGATGTCTTGGGGGACCATTTGCCAGGAAGGAAAATTTGCATACTTGGAGACTGCTCAGGTGTCACCTCCGTGGGGGCTGCTAAGCTTTGCCAGGAGGCTGACCTTCTTATTCATGAAGCTACACTAGATGATGATCATGATGGAGAAAGCCAAGGAAAATGGTCATAGTACGCCCAAAATGGCTGCGGAGTTTGCAAATTTGTGTCATGCAAAGAAGCTGGTTCTGAATCACTTCAGTCAGAGGTTTAAGCCTCCAGGACTCATTACGGAAGGAGATGACGATGTGACCATGCTGAAGACTCAAGCAGAAAGCTTTTTTATGGGACAGGAAGTGATATTAGCCGAGGACTTTTTGACTATTACAATTCCAATGAAAAAAAAAACAGATTAGAGTAATGGTTTCACTTTAAAGAGGACCATGGTCTTTGCACTCTTTTAGAAGGGCATTTTTCGGCGTTCACCAGTAAGAACAAGTCAGTAGGACCTTTGGACCTCTCCTGTGTACACTGACAGGTGCTACCCCCAGAGGATGCAGTGAGCCTTTCCAACAGAATCAAGTCAGATCTGAACTCCCCATTCTAAACTAAGCTGAGGGCACATGGGACCTTGTTGAACATCTGTGTACCAAGCTTTTTTAAAAGACTTCTCTCCAAATAATTGCTACTTTACAGCCCGGAGTACCAAGGGCTTTTTGGGATCTACATCTGCTTTATGACCATCTGCTCTAAAAAGGACTGGTTGCTTCAGAAATACCATCGAGTTTCTGGATCACGAATATTCATTTCAAGATGGGAGTAAAAAAAAAAAGTAATTATGCCCTTAAGGAGGACCTAACTATTACTGCTATCTTAAAATGGTTTAAAGTGACATTCGCTGCTCCAGCTACATTCGCGTCATGTTAGGATGTTGAATATAACAGTAAAAGGAAACACTGAAATGTATTATTTTATATACTCTGGCTTTATGTCGCTTTAAGCTATAGCGTTTAATGTATCTTTATAGGTGATATCACATCATTTTTGGTTTGCATGTTTCAGATTAGGGCACTTTTTTCACAAGCAATCTGATTGGGTCCGCCTGTCCATTTTTCAGGCGGACCCTCCATTTTGCTCTATGGTGCGGTGGGTGTAAACAGACTTGTGTCTTACCTTCATTCGAACACGCCAACAACAAATGGAAGGGGATACTTCCCCTCTGCTTGGTGGATTGAAACGGGCCTGTCATCCACCCACTCCACTCTGCTCAGTAGGGGATCGTTGGGACAGATCCCCCGATGAGCAAGCAGAATCCACCCAGTGTGAATGGGCCTTATTATTACATTTTAGTTTCCTTTTTTTTTTTTATATATGGGCGTTATGCAACTTTAAAGTGGTTAGTAAACCCTTACATATACCTAGTGAAGTGACTGGTCTAAGGTGATACAGATTGATTAAAGTGTTACTAAACCCAGGACCCTGCATTCACTATATCTGCTCTCCCCGGACCCTGCATTCACTATATCCGGTCTCTCCCAGACCCTGCATTCACTATATCTGGTCTTCCTGAACCCCCGCATTCACTTTATCTGCTCTCCCCGGACCCTGCATTCACTATATCCGCTCTCCCCGGACCCTGCATTCATTATATCGGGACTCCCCGGACCCTGCATCCACTGTATCCGGTCCCCCCGGACCCCGCATAGACTAGATCTGGTCTCCCAGGACCCTGCATTCACTATATCTGGTCTCCCTGGACCCTGCATTCACTATATCTGGTCTCCCTGGACCCCGCATAGACTATATCTGGTCTCCCAGGACCCTGCATTCACTATATCTGGTCTCCCTGGACCCTGCATTCTCTATATCTGGTCTCCCTGGACCCCGCATAGACTATATCTGGTCTCCCCCAGACTCTGCATTCACTATATCTGATCTCCCTGGACCCTGCATTCACTATATCTGGTCTCCCTGGACCCTGCATTCACAATATCCGTCTCTCCGGACCCTGCATTCACTATATCTGGTCTCCCACAGTACACAGAACATGGAAATGCAATTATTTTGGTAAATGTAAACTGCTAAAACCTTTTCTCATCAGCAGTTAGAGCAGTCTTGTGACTTCAGCATAGCACTGGTTAAAGCTTGAAAGAGGAGTTTTCTTTCTGCTCTAGGAGGATGCAAAACCCTTGACCTCTGTCTGGACGGTGCTGATTGGCCTGTGCTGATCACATGCACTCTCTCAAGAAAAAAAAAACTCTCTAGCAATATACGCTAAACTGAACATGTGGATACAGGTTCAGTCTGTCTTATCAGGTGGACATTTGAACAAGAGGAGGAGCAGAGAAGACAGGACCAAACAGCCTTTTTACACAGTGCAGAGGAGTAACCCCTTAAGTTCCATAGTGAGTATAACAAGCATGTTTTACTACATATACAGACTGATCTTACTGTTGTGGGTTTAGTAACACCTTAAACAAAGCCTACACAAGTTGTACCCGTTTATCTGCAGCCGTCTGTCCTGTTTATCCATTCAAAGTGCTGAATTTATAAAGCTTGTTTTAGAGTTCAGAAATCAGGGGGTGGAGAGCTGAAATTTATACACTGCAGAGCTCAGTGAGAAGAACTCTGAGAGTTGATTGGAGAGAAAAGACACACACACCCTCCATACAGCTCATAGGAACAGAGCTGAGGCTGTCAATCTTTCCTGTCACCATTTTTCTATTGGTGTCAGGAAAACTTGTCAAAGGAACGAAGCAGCAGACAGAAATGACACTTAGTACTCTGAATTTGGGACAAGTACACACTATAGAGGTATATGCTTTGTTCATATTTCATATCTGAGATTTATAACCACTTTAAGACATATTTTGTTATGAAGTTTAATGTATCTTTCTGAATAAAAAAAAGTCTTTGAATAACGTTTTGTTTTTGTTACTTTAGTTTTCTGCTTTTGTTCTTTTGAATTTTAAATTTACCTTGTCGAATATCATGCAACACACAGGGATCTATTTATAAAAAAAAAAAATTCTCAAGCATTCCTTTAATTCACAAATACGCCCTGTAATTTTGTGTGATAGGTTTACAATATATGTCCTATGATAGTCCGCTCCATCTAGTGATTTATGATTGATCTAATGAATATGGTGTTTCAGGAAAATACCACATTATGGCCACTAAATGGAGCTGATAATCATAGGAAATGAACGTGTTTGACAAATTATGGGTGATTATTTGTGATATCTGTGTGCTAGCAATATTGGCACAGTAAAAAAAATCAAAAATCGGGAATGCGCTAAATTATATCACAAATCCATATGCTGTGCAAAAAAGTCCAAACACTATAAATTCAACATATGTAAAATTCCCCACTGAAACAATCCATAAATTATTATTAGTGCAAAAAAGTCCAACTCCCCAAAGAATTTTCTTCTTAAACATACAGTTGTGGCCAAAATTATTCAACCCCCCAATGCTGTAAAGGGGTTTTTAGGGACTATAGTGTACATTTGGAATTGTATTCAGAATCAAATCCTACAAGGACGTTGTAACTACCCAAATGCAACTAAAATGACATCAATTGTTTATGTAATACAGTAGTAAATTGGTTCTTATGTGGTTTCTTCATTGCCACAATTATTCAACCCCAAAGACTACCACTCTGAAGAACAGAGGTTCATACAGGTGCTTTCCATCAGGTATTGAAAAACACCTGTGGATGTCACCGAGCAGCAATCAAGCATAATAAGCACCAATTAGGCAGCTTTAAAATGACTGTGATACTCAGCTCCTTCTAGACATTTACTGATGTGGTTACAAACATGGTGAAGGCAAGAGAATGGTCCAGGAAGACAAGAGAAGAGGTGATTTCTCTTCACAGGAAGGGCAATGGCTATAAGAAGATTTGCAAAGATGTTAAACATACCAAGAGACACCTTAGGAAGCATCATTCGCAAATTCAAGGCAAAGGGCACTGTTGAAACGCTACCTCTGGTCGTGGCAGAAAGAAGATGCTGACTTCGACTGCTGTGCGCTACCTGAAGCGTAGAGTGGAGAGAAGTCCCCGTGTGACTGCTGAGGAACTGAGAAAAGATTTGTCAGATGTGGGTACAGAAGTTTCAGCCCAGACAATAAGACGCACACTGCGTAATGAAGGCCTCCGTGCCAGAACTCCCAGGCGTACCCCCTTGCTGTCTCCAAAGAATAAGAAGAGTCGACTGCAGTATGCCAAAAGCCATGTGGACAAACCACAAAAGTTGTGGGATAGTGTTCTGTGGACTGATGAAACAAAATTAGAACTGTTTGGGCCCATGGATCAACGCTATGTTTGGAGGAGGAAGAACAAGGCCTATGATGAAAAGAAAAGAACACCTTGCCTACTGTGAAGCATGGTGGAGGGTCAATCATGCTTTGGGGCTGTTTTGCTTCTGCAGGTACAGGGAAGCTTCAGCGTGTGCAAGGTACCATGAATTCTCTTCAGTACCAGGAGATATTGGATGGAAACGTGATGCAGTCCGTCACACACCTGAGGCTATGGGAGACGTTGGACCTTTCAACAGGGACAATGATCCCAAGCATACCTCCAAGTCCACTAGAGCATGGTTGCAGAGGAAAGGCTGGAACATTTTGGAGTGGCCATCGCAGTCACCAGACTTAAATCCGATTGAGAACCTCTGGTGGGACTTAAAGAAAGCAGTTGCAGTGCGCAAGCCTAAGAATGTGACTGAACTGGAGGCCTTTGCCCATGAAGAATGGGCGAAGATACCCGTAGATCGCTGCAAGACACTTGTGTCAAGCTATGCTTCACGTTTAAAAGCTGTTATAACTGTAAAAGGATGCTGTACTAAGTACTAAGATTGAATGTCACTTGGGGGTTGAATAAAACTGATAATGCTGGTGAGCACAGAAAAGACATTTGTGGTTATTTCATTATAACTGTTATGTTATATTTGTCTGACCTACAAGTGCCTCTTTAATGTAAATGTAAGCAAGATGACTGAATGATCAAAAGCAATGTCAAACTGCCAAAACACTCAATTTCAGTGGGGTTTGAATAATTTTGGCCACAACTGTATAAATACACCGTGCTCAATCCACCACCAGATGAATGGAATAAACTCACCAGAGCTCAATGCTGATCAAATTATAAATCAGCACAAGCGTATTTGCTCTGGGAGCGATGAGAGAATCCAA